TAAATGCTATGTTTTGGGTTGATGAAACAGGAAAAGAAAACTACTCCAAGTTTTCTGATGTTATATCAATGGATGCATCATATAGAACAAACAGGTAAAATTTATATTTATTACATTACATTATACAATAAAGGATACATTTTGCAAATATTTTCAAGTACAATATGATATTTGTTCCTTTCACTGCTATAAACAACCATGAAAAGACAATCACTGTTGGAGCAGGACTAATATCAGATGAAACAATTGAATCATACTCTTGGTTATTAGAAGCTTTTTTGTCATCACATAAGAAGAAACCAACAATGATTCTGTCAGATATGGATGCAACATTATCTTCTTCCATAGCAAAGGTGTTTCAAGGATGTACTCACAAATTATGTATGTGGCACATAATGTCAAAAATTCCATCAAAGGTAACAAATAGATTAATTTATTGAATTAAAAATAGCTTATGAAAATATGCTAATAAAAACAAATTTTACATGACAGATTGAACCTGATGTAGTTTCAAATTCAGATTTCAAGAAACGCATAAAATCAACTAGTTTGGAATATGAATATTGAACCATCAGAATTTGAGAACAAATGGGATTTAATGTTGCATGAATTTCATTTGAAGGATAATAAATGGTTAGCTGATATGTTCACTAAGAGAGACAAATGGATTCCTTCCTATTTCAGAGATATACAAATGTGTGGACTTATGAAGACTACATCTCGATCTAAAAGTTCAAATTCATTTTCAATGTTTTCTCAAGTCCAACCAACTTACTTGTGAATTTTATGTTCAATTTTGACACTGCACTTTCAAAGCAACGTCATGAGCAAAAAAGATTAGATATTGCATCAAGAGATACTTCTCCACAACTGTTATTTCCACATGAAAATTTGAAAATTGAAAAGCACGCATCATTGGTATACACACGAGAAGCATTCCTTAAAGGGAAGAAACAAATAAAAAAGGCATTCTATCAGTGTTTTCAAAAAAAAAATCTATTTTGATTGATGGCCATCAACAATGCATAATTGTCTACAAAGAAATCAAGTCATGCAAACGACCAGAATTTAAGGTATGGAAATATGCTACTTAATGATGATTTTAATTAAACATTATTTAGACTTTATAATAATATTACTGTAATTACATTTTATTATTATCTTTCAGGTTTCTTTTGATGCAAAAGATGAAACAAATGAATGTGAATGTTTGCATTTCACATTTTTGGAATCCTTTGTAGTCATGCTTTTAGAGTTCTTATAGATTATGACATTGCCATGATACCTGAAAAATACATTCTGGATAGATGGAGAAAGAACATAGTGGATATTGGTTTTCAAAAGATAAACCGAAAATGGAGAGTGTGCAGTACAAAAATTTCAAATCTCTTGCAGGATGCTACTTCTTTTTATGAGAAATGCATTGAATCGGTTATTCATGACAACGAAAAATTACAAGAATTTGTGAACTCTCTTCAACAATTAAGTGAAACTTGTGGAAAGGATGTTGCTTCTAGATCAAGTTCAATTCCAATAAAAGATGCTGTTGAAAATATCATTGGTATTCCAATTTCAACTGATGTGAAAATCAAAGTACCAAGTGGGATAAAAACAAAAGGGAGTGGAAAGAGGAATCGAATCAAAAGTGCAGCAGAAAAAGCAATAGCTAAATCACTTAAACCAAAATGCACATGCAAAGGATGCAAGGAATTAGTCAACCATGATCTAAGAAATTGCTCAATAAATCCTTCAAATATGCTTAAGCCTTTCAAAAATCAAAACAACAGTAACTTATATTAGAATTTTAGTTTTGTATGTGCTAATGTTTTTCTATATTAAAACTCTTAGTATTAAAATCTAGAAACGATTCTGAAGTTTATTTTAATATTAATTATAAATAATGTAATAATTTACAGTTTCACTTTCATATATAAAAACATATATGAATTTATGATAAGAAAAAAAATACTATCAAACACAAATAAAAAGTGCTTCAAACAACATTATAATTGTAGATATAATCAAAATATATATTAAGACTATTTCAAAAATTTTACACATATATATGCCGCAAATCATCCGAAATATATGTTAAGATTATTTCAAATCATCAACTAAACATTCACAATCATTTTACTTAAAATATTAAATCTAATGTGAATGAAATAATGCAATATATATTTATTAGTTTTAAAACTACAAACATTTCGTTTTTCATTAATATTGCATAATTACTTTTTGAAAAAATAACAATATATTAAAAAAAATTGAATTCTTTAATAATCCATAATTCTTTAATATTACATAAATCTTTAATAATGAAAAATTACTATTCCAATAAAATTTATATTTATGAAAAAAAAAAACTTTAAACATATATATGTCGCATATCACCTAAGAAATATGTTAACAATAACTCAATTAATCAACAACTCTATCACAATTTAATCTCCTTTAATTAAATATATACATTTAAACAATATAATATATGATACTTTATTACCTCATAAAATCTTTCATATATTACTTAAATCTATTTAGAATTAATAATTAAAAAAATATATAAACACTCATAACTATAGAAGTCAAATCGATTTAATTTCAATAAATACAAACAATTCTTTCACATAAAAACCTATTCAACTAATAATAAATATACATTTTATATTTAAAAAAAATGAAAAAACAAATAAAAAATTAAAATTTACTTAAAATATAATATAAAAACAGTAAATAATAACAAGACTATGATCTAATCATTATATACAACAACAGCAGCAAAAAATAAATAGATAAATAAACTTTTTTTTAAAAATCAACTTCAAAAAAAAAATATACCGATTCATTTATTAAAAACAAAATTCAAATTATAACAAGATAAACATAATCATCTTGCATGTATAGATAACATTATTATCTAAACCTACAACCGCCGAATTAGTCTACAATAGTTCTTGAAGCAAATAATGATAGAAAATTAATTACCTCCTCTAATAACTACAATTTCTACCGCTATATATTCCTCCTCAACATCATAATAAACTTAAACAAAACTACAATTTCTAGTGATGGCTTCAGAATCATCGATTTGGGAAGTTCACAACTCCTTGGCTTATCTTGATCTTTACGACATATATGGTATGTTCCTTATTGTTAAAATCTTATAATATTAAAACTTATATAATCTTATTTTCAACCTTCATTCAGGATGGGAAAACAAAAAGTATTTCCCAATCATGCTAAACCATGGAGGTAGTTTCCTCTACTACCCAAATTGAGATTACTTTGGAGGCATCATTGACTATATAGACTTCATCGACGTTGAAACTTTCTCTGCAGAGGTATTTCATACCATCTTAAGTTCGTTTGGTTATGATGTTGACAGAACATTTGCATACTCTTTAGTCTCATTTGCTCCATTAGACGTTGGTCTAAACAAGCTTGAAAGTTGGAACGATTTCTTGAACTTTGTCAAAAAAGTTAAAACATATGTTTTTTTTTTTATGTTCAACAAATTTATCTGGAGCATAATCAAACCATTGTTACAACCTTCTTTCCAAAAACATTAAACTTTGCAACCAACAGTTATCTGTGCACGATACTGTATTCAATGGTTGCATCAAATCTAAAAATTACTATTTGGCAAGCTAGGATCATACTTTTTGACAAATTAAGCTTTTGGATAGATGTTGACAAACTCATTGAAGCTTTGGATTACACCAAGTTTCAAGTGAATCTTCTGGGGAAGTAGATGAAGCTGCAAGGTAAAAAGCTGGGATTTTAGGTATTTGGGTTTTTGGATTTCAGGAAGTGGTGTTATTATGAATATTTGAAAGTTTATTTTGTTTATGTGTGACTTTATATAATATGTTGATGTGCTCTAACTTTTGGGATGACTGTAATATATTTATAAATATTATGGATGATGGTTGGTAGTATGTTAATATTGTATATGATTGTGAATATGTTAACTTGAAAATTTTAGATATGATGTTTGTTAATATGTTAATATTATATATGATTGTGAATATGTTAGTTTTAAATATAATTATACATAAACAAGAAATATCAAATTCAAAAAAATGTTGTCATACTTTTCCATGATTATTATAAACTTATGTTTGTAGAAGTACATTAACTTCAAACGTAAAAAAACCAAATAAAAACCAACATACATATAAAATACTTCAAAACAAATTGTTCTACTTACTCATTCATAACCATTACTATGAAGACTACTACATAAAACTAACCACTTGATGTTTACTTCAACAAACATATATCAAGGATCAAATGCAGCTAACCGAGCTGCTATATTGATAATACCTTCTTGATACATTACACGCCTATCATTTGCAGAAAGCTTTTGATAATCAACAAGAAGTTTCTCAACTTCATGTTTCATTAGATTCACTTCACTCAATAGAATTTTCATGGAATATCATCTTTGAAGATTTCTAAGTTGCATAATCTGCTCGGCACTTTCCATTTTAAACCCACATGTCCATTGAGCTAAAGGAACTCCCTTATAAGTTTCCATATGACGCATCAAAAAAATCCCACAATCATTACTGTTACCTCTTGTTTTCCACGTCATATACTGATCAACAAATTCCATTTCATACATAATTGAAAAAGGCATAAAATGTTTTATCTCTTGAAGATATCTACCAAACACATTAAAAAATAAACAAAAAATCAATATCCATTATAAACAAAAAATTATGAATATAAATAAAACATTTAAAATAAACACAAAACCAAACAAACTTACCGGATTTCGAGTTAGATGTGGGTATGGATTTTCAGAAGATCTATATAATATGTTGTCCAATATGACACCTTTACAGTTTTTAAAATAAAAAACAAACACAAAATAGTGACTGTTTGCACATGCAGGAAAGAACACCTAAATAAAAATAATCAAATACACAATTAGATATAAACAAAAAAGGAATAAATTTTACAAAGTAAATCCAAACTTACCAAATCAATTCCTTTTAAATTTCTTCGGTCTTTAGATTGTTCCAAACAATGAAAACATTTTCTTTATAATTCTGGTACTCATCATATTTACATGCTTCACTATGCATGTATGCATGATCCTAAATACAAAACAACCATTTTATTAACATTATAATAATATAAAAACAATAATTAACAATTACTATACGTACCAATACTGCTGTCTTAAAGAAGAAACATGAAGGAGTATCCAAATTCCTTGCTCTCTCATCATAGTTCAATACTTCAACAAAACAATCAATAGTCCCAGAAAAAAGAAATTCTCCCGGATATAAGTTCTCAAACATGTATCTTTCCCCACGTTGACCATTTATGCTATGAAAAAGATCATCCCTATTAAAATACAAATAAAATACATTTAATTTAACATTCCTTATATATATATATATATATATATATATATATATATACACACACACACACACACACAAACACATTACGTTGGATTTCCACATAAGCTGAATAGCCAATTGGACTTGATATTCTCCTCCTTCGTCAAATTACTATCAATCTCAATAGCTCGTACAAAAAATGGAGACCTAAGAACTGGAGGAAACGTTTGACTTCTCTTTGGTCTCAATGAAATCATATCATTCTCAAGTATTTTAACCTTTTCACTTCTATCATGAGACTTAATTACATTTCCTTTGATTGAAGTAGAACTTATTCCAACAGAAACATAATTATTACCAAAGCAACACCTGCATTCACATTTGGAGGAGTATAGATGTCATCCTCAATTCCTAAATTAAAAGAAGGAATACCCTCATCTAAACACTTTTCCTTATGACCACCCTCACAATCCACATGCAACTTAGTTTCAATGCATCCATATTTGCCAAACTCATTAGCCACTCCATATTTATTAAAACCAACGTTGCTGTTAATAGACTACCCAATATCTCGAAATTCAGCAAACTTATCATCACAACTACTGCTTTTTTTCACAAGACTTAGAAGTATATTCGCATTTTGAATTACTATGACGAAAAGCTTTATATGCAGAACATAACTTTTTCACCTTCAATCCATTGAACTCTATTATTTTCAGATTTCCATGCTTTTTAAAAGCTTTATCCAATTTCTTAGACATATCTACTAAACACCACTTCATATCTAAATGAAACTCTTGATAACAACAAAAAATATAGCAATTTATAATTAATATATGAATCTGAAAATTTAAACATAAATATAAATAATCAAAATCAGACTCATTTCACAGCAATATTTTTTAACAAAATCAAAATACAAAACAAATAAATCATCATCATCATCAAATATACACAATTAAAATTACTTACTAAAATTGATCATCTAGAAACTTCATCAAAACTCTTCACTGTAGCAGATGGTCTTCCAAAACCTCCATTCGAAATTTCATTTATTTCTCTCGCTTTCAACTGCTCTAAAGTCCAATTATTAATTACTGGATATCTTCTAACCATTAACATCTGCCTACATTGAATCTTATCAACATATAGCAACTACAAAAAAAAAAGTTAATAACAATATAAATATTATTTATATTTTAAAAATATTTAATCAAAAAACATTAAATGACATACCGTTAAAAAACACTAGGACCATTGAAGAAAGTCTTAATATCACTTCTGCTCCAAATCAACTTTTCCTCTTTTACACAATTTAATACATATGTACACCAATCAAAGTTATCTAACTTATATGACTGAGACAAATACGGTAGAAGCTTCAAATTGCATGCACCTTGTTTGTTACATGATCCAAAACATGTACAAACAAGAATAATAAAATTAGCAACAAACACCATATCTGCTTCACAACGTTCTATTACCTTGTACACAATATCATTTGGAGTAATTAAAGACAACAATTTCTTGAATTGATCTTTCCATATCTCATACCATTCCTCATTACCTCTTACATCAACACTGTTTAACTGATCAACCCCCATAGGCAAACCTAACACCCTATTAACATCTTCCCTTGTAACCAAAATATTAAAAACCTCAGTTTTAATAACCATCTCTAAAGGATCAAAATAATCAACAACAAAATAACATAATTTTGCTAGAATACTTTGAGTCTTCATGTCTAGCAATTATCCAAACCCTAAACTCCTCACACATTCTTTTTGATTATGATTCATTGAATTCACCACACCATATATAGAATGAAGAGAAACACGAGAATACAATTATTTTATTTTAGCACAATTCAACTCCATTTTTTTAACTTTCTTATCAGATATCTTATCCACCCTCTTCACACTACTAGTATCATCCTCAAAATCAGAATCACTAGAAAAGTCTACAACAAAATAATCAATATATAAACCTTTTAAAATAATATAAAAAAATTAATATAACAAAATCAATAAATAGGCAACAAAATAAATAAATAACATTATAGTTAAGTTTACCATGTTCGTAGACAATTCTTTTACTAAATTTTTTTATCACTTCTATTAACCAACTTCCTGCTCCTTGTAATGCTCCGAACTTCAAAATCAGAATCACTTAAATAATCTAAATTATGTACAACAAAAAAAATATTAACATCTAAATTAATAACTAATTTAAAGAATAACAAAATTAGGATAACTAACATTCTGTATCAGATGAATTTGAGTTTAATCGACCAAACAAACCATGTTTTTTCTTTTTCATTGAACTATACACATACTGATAAACATTATTCCTTGGCTTTTTCTTCTTCCAATAATTACTACATGAAATGTCAATTGTCTTCTTCATAGAATTAGTGGAATTAATCTCAATTGGACTCTTATTATCTAAACATACAGGCAGAACAAAATCAAACCGAAAAAAATCCTAAAAATGTCATTTTGAAAAGCATTAACAACAAAACAAAATAACTTACTCTCCTTCTTACTTCACCAGATCGAAATTCTTTTTCTTCTGATACTTCATCATCATCTATTTCGATAGGATGATCACGAGAATTAACCATAAAATCAACTTTATCCACATTCTCATTTAAATAATCCTTCTTCCTGGAAACCATTTCCAGTGATGCAATTGGAAATTTCTTCATGACTTTTGAATGCGAACTTAGCCTATTATTGTTAACTTTCGCATCTAACAAAGCTTTAAACACAAACATTATGTTGAATAATGTTTGAATACATAATCTATTAGTAGAGAAAACTTAAAAGAAAAACTCAGAATAAATTTTGAAATAACAAAAACGAAGATCTTCGATCGATTACGAGTAAACGGTTACATCAATTTGAAAACCCACTAATCAATCTTCACCGACGGTTAAATTCTTAAAAGATAACTACATGGATAAATTACATTTATAACCTTTTAAATAAAAAAATTTATAAAAACCAACAAATTACGTGTGAAATAAAAAAATAACTACTCTTATACACATGCTTATTTCCTATTGATTCTTATCATTTTCACTTTTTAATCTTATTTGTACACGAACCCACTTATTTATATATATATATATATATATATATATATATATATATATATATATATATATATATATATATATATATATATATATATATATATATAATCTTTAATGGCTAGTGATGCAAAGAATGCGTGATCAACATTTAATACATTAACTACTTTTATTTCTAATTTTTGTACAACTCTTAAAATTCCATGTCATCTGTACAAAATTACTTTGCATTTTCATAACATATTTATTTCTAAACTAATTTTTGTATACTTGGTGCGGTCTTTATCGTATACCGCAATATACGGTAAGAGGTGCACACCATAGCCTAATTCGCATGCTACGGAGACATAATATTTCAAATTATGAAAGTCTTTCATATATATTACATTATTAATTATAAACAATTATATTTTTATAGATATAAATTAGTTGTTGATTTGTAAATGGAGTGAATGTTATTATTATATTGATGTAGATAGTAATTGCAAAAGCTGACGTGTATCATTTAAAAGATAAACGGTATTGCACTGTTAGCCCTTAAATGATCGTTTCAAGTCTAATGGTAAAAACGTTTTAAAAAGAAATTCACATTCTTTTAAAAGAAATTATATTATCATCATCATACATCTAGAATGTATTAAAAAGAAATTGCCCTCAACTGTGATACATTACCATCATCATATATTATTTCTCATTTGCTTTCTCAATGGTTACCTAACGTAATGGTAATGAAAGAAAGAGAAGTACCGGAACCGAACCATTCCTTAGCGGTTTTGATTTTTAGGAACTGAAATCGGAACCAGTGACCCCGGTTCCAGTTCCTTAACTAAGACCCCGTTTGATAATTGCTGACCGAGAAAGTGTTGACTGAGAAAGATCTGTCTCAGTAAGAAATTCTGACTAAGTAAGAAATCATATTGTTTGATTGAAAATATGACTGAATGTGCTGACTGGTGCAAAATGACCATTTTACCCCGATGCTCTACACGTTTCTATACAATATGAAGATGATGATGATAATAATAATAATAATAATAATAATAATAATAATAACAAAAACAACAATAACAATAACAATAATTACAATAATGATGATGATGATAATAATAATAATAATAATAATAATAATAATAATAATAATAATAATAATAATAATAATAATAATAGACATTAATAACAATAATAATAATAATAATAATAATAATAATAATAATAATAATAATAATAATAATAATAATAATGTATAAAAAAACTTCCAGCATAATAAACAGTAAATATATTATTTTAGAAATAAAACACAAAAAATCATTTAGCTTGTTGGTAAACACCATCTCTTCTACAAGGGAGACCTAAGTTCTAATCCTATAACCTTCATTAGCTTCGAGTTTTTATCCAAGCCAAGGTACTATTGGAAATCCTCACTTTCTTTCTGGGTCAGCCATCTCCCAACTTCTTTCTCGGTCAGACCTTGCTTTCCGAGTTAGACGTTAAGATTTTGTCTATCAAACACCTTTCGTCTAACTGAGTCAGCCAAAAATGTCTGAGTAGACTCGGTCAGATGCATATCAAACAAGGCCTAACAGTCTATCAGTGTCCATTTATAATGGTAACTCAATAGTAATAAAAGAAGTCAAATATATTGATATTTCGTGCAAATTATCATTTTTGGTGTTCCAATTGCTAAGCTATTCCACAAATAACGAATCAAATCTTCAACATTTTTGGATGGACACTTAATCCTTTTTACCTATTTATTAACTAATTAATATTACAAAAAAATATTCGTAATTTTTATAAAACAACAAATATTGAAGACCAAGATTTAGACATTATAGATCATATGGTCCATCCTCAAAGAATCTTGTAATTAGACAATGACTAATCCAACAATATCTCCACTTAAATGGCAAATACGCATTTGTCAATTAAGAGCAAGACTCAATTATGTTAATTTTGCTAATTATGGGTATTTTTGATATTTTAAGATACCCCCTCTACTTTCTCTTTTAAACACTTTCTACCCCACCAACTTTTCTACTTCCCTTTTTCTTTTTCATTTGTCATTTTACTTGGGACATTGACAAGAGAGATTGGTGAGCTTTTGTTTCTTGTCCTCATAAACTGCTTATGATGCTTTTTTCTACCCTTACATTACATGTGCGATTTCTCTTTCCCTCTCTCTTCAGTACAATTATTTGTACTATCTCCATTTTGATACCATGATATTGAGTCATTGTCCACATTGATATCTCCAAAGTAGAATGTAAGATTTGTAACGACAGAAACTAGATCTATGAAGGTCAAAGTTATTTTAAGACCCAACAAGTAAAAGTAGGTAAATGTTATATTTTTGTTCCCCTATGCATGGATAATTCATTATATCCTAGATAAAAAAATGTGATATTTATCTCACTTTTGAATTTTTACTTCCTCATTGTTGCATAGGCTAAGCCCACAAAGTAGAAAATTCTAATAGCGAAAACTCAGTGTGTTTACAATAAAATTAACATTTTAAGGCAACTTCTAAATATGAGAGTTAAATCCACAATCACAATATATATAAGTTAGTTTTGGAGAAATTACAGTTACTTCTACAAGTGATTATGGATAAAGATGTACAAAACATTTAGGAATTGGGCTGGACCTCTCAGAACCTAATCCAACTTAAGCAGGTCAAGTTTGGCCCAGTTAGACTTGATCACAAGTCAAAAGTCACAAGGTTCACAATAGAGGTGCACAAACACCGGTTTCTGTTAAAAAAATGTTTAAAAAAATATAATTATAAGAAAATGGGATAATGAGTTAATATGGGCAATATATATATATATATATATATATATATATATATATATATATATATATATATATACACATTTGGATATTACGTTATTTATTTATTTATTTATTTTATTTTTTAAATCATTTAACTTGTTTTTTTGTCTACATTCAGTCTTTTCAACCGATTACTTTAGGTTAAATCCGCAAAAACGACATAATACGGTAATATATTTTTCAGTTTGTACACATTTAGTCATTAATGTTTTTGTACACATTTAGTCCATATGACCAATCTCTTCAGATTTTGCTTACAGACATCCTATATGAGACAATCATTAATGAGGTGTTTTCATACGTGACTCATCCTCCTTCACTTATATCAGTAACCTAATTCACAAATCAGTCAAATAAGTTGGTGCCCTAGTTTTCTCAAAACAGAAGATGTCTTCGTCTTTGGTGTCATCTATCTGCATAGCAGACAACGAGATTTTTTGTGCTTGTTTCCTCTTAACTCGAATTTGCACTTCCTAGACAAAAAGAATTAAGGAACACACTAAAAGAATTTGCACTTCCAAGATAAAACAACACACTGGCAAAAAGTTTCATCTATCTCCATAGTAGACAATGAGCTTTTTTATGATTGCTTCCTCCCAACCCGAATTTGCACTTTCAAGGTAAAGAATCTCATTTTATGCTATGAAGATAGATGTAACCAAAGACGAAGACATCTACTACATAGAGAAAACTAGGGAACTAATATTACTTGGCCGATTTGTGAGTTAGGTTACTATTATAAGTGAAGGACGAGCTGCATACCAGAGCACCTCATTAATGATTGTCTCATGTAGGATGTCGTGAGCAAATTCTTAAGAAATCAGTCATAAGGACTAAACTTCATGCATATTTTCTCTTTTTGTTATTTTTCATCTTTATCGGGTACTTTCCAGTCTTTTGAGCTTAATTATAGTATTTACCGAAGACTTTTAACGTGGAGGATCGTAGGAATGTAGGACCTTGAAACGATTGCAGTATACATATGGAATTTAGCAAGGAGTAATTGGGCTTGCTGTCGAAAAGAAGATGGAATAAATTTAAGCCAATGATCTTATGGAAGCATGGAGCAATTGGGCTTTGGACGATCAAATAAGACTTGGGCTAGTCTGGATTGCTTAGAAGACATCAATTGGACTCATGGTAACTTAACTAATGGTATGGACAATACAAGAAGTAAATGGAGGATGAAGGCCATTAAAAATAGGTTGAATACCACTTCAGGAGTGTTCACGTGGTTCGTGTGAGAGACTCAAACGGTCGATGTATTGTGCAACGAAGAATTCAGATTTTAGCCTTGATTACTATTTGAGGCAAGTAGGTGGGATTCTTTTACAACAATTTTTAGTTCCAAAAATTCAACACTTTTCTCTAGAGTTTGGAGCTTCAAGAACATGAAGAAGACTGAAAGAACTTCATCATTTTACTCTCATTTACACTTAGATGTTTGGTACAATTAACTCTTGTTTCATTTTCTCAAGTTTATCCATGCTAGGCTAAACTCATTGATTGACTTTGGTGCATCTGCTTGAACTTTTTTGTTGAATATTGAAGAACTCCATGAACTTGTTCTTGGATCTTTATGAAAGTGTTTTCCATCTTAACATATTCTTTCTACTTAACTGTCTTTATCCATGAGTTTAGATGTATATGTTGTGATTAGTTGGCTAATTTCTTAATTAAGTAATAGATATTCAAATTATCAAGCAAGAAGTGTTTCTTGTGTTAGTTTTCACATAACACAATCACAAAAACATTATCTCCAACATAGTAGTGAAAGCTTTTAAATCCTCTTGGATTTGTTGACTTTCTGGTTCTTAATTCTAGTTAATTTTCACTAATTACATGGTTAA